AGCGATGTCAATATTAGATAGAAATAAATTATTATAAAACTGGTCAGTCTTAGTCCGTAAGCCTCGTACATTCTGATAGAAAAGTCTTAATCCACTATTGCACTTTGCCATTTTAAATATTAAGTACACCATTAGTTATAGAATGATACACATAAAGGATTGTAATAACTGCTTTCATTTGCACAACAAAGAAAACGTAATAATAAAAAAAAGAAGTGAATGCTAAGTATCTTTTTCCACGACAATAAGACATAACATAACGTTTTAAAAAGAAACAAAACAGGAAGGCAGTTTGTAATGCCTATTGATATATTATCATAGTGTTTTATATGATGTAGAATTTTTTCATAGTGTTTTGTAGTTTGAGTAATGATAAATAGAAACAATGAATAATACCTAGGTGGATTGAAAAGTACTCGGCCTAACACAGATCCATTCAATTCTAAAAATCAAATCTACCCACATTATTTAGTTCAGTTCAGACTAGTTCATTGTGTGAAGTTCGAAACGTGTGCGATAATTAGTTGTTATTTTATAAATTTATTAACAAAGTAATCGGACATAATTTCCGCGAATGGAGCAAATCGAGCAGCGTGCCGTCATTAAGTACCTCCATAAGAAGGGGCTATCATCAAAAGCCATCCATAATGACATGGTCAGTACATTAAACGATTGTGCTCTGTCATATTCATCCGTCAAAAAATGGATAGCAGAATTTAAGCGTGGTAGAGAGAGTGTGAAAGATGAACCCCGCTCTGGAAGGCCTTCGACGTCAACTACTGACGAAAATATTAAAAAAGTACTTGAATTAATAATGGGAGACCGCAGATTAAAAATTAGAGAGATAGCCGAGATTATAGGCATCTCTTATGAACGAACTCAAAACATCATTGTCAACGAGTTGGGTTTCCACAAGGTGTCTGCGAGGTGGGTTCCGCGACTGCTTTCAGTTGAACAAAAAAGGACGCGATTGACTATTTCACGCGACTGTTTGGAGTTATTTGAAGCCGATGCAGATGATTTTTTGAATAGTTTTGTTACTATGAACGAAACATGGGTTCATTACTGTACACCGGCAATAAAACAACAATCAAAACAGTGGAGAAGACCTGGTTCACCACCCCCTAAAAAGGCTAAGTCGATTTTGTCGGCAAATAAGGTGATGGCTTCAGTATTCTGGGACTCGAAAGGTGTGATTATGATTGATTATCTTGAAAGGGGTCAGACTATAAACTCTGATTACTACTGCACCTTACTACGTCGTTTACGAGAGGAAATAAAAGAAAAACGTCGAGGAATGCTCAGAAGAAAAGTCCTGTTTCATCAAGATAACGCCCGTGTTCACACGTCAGTACAGTCAATGGCTGAAATTCACAACTGTGGCTTTGAACTGTTACCGCATCCGCCGTATTCACCTGATCTGGCACTATCAGACTTCTTTCTGTTCCCTAACCTAAAAAAGCACTTGGGAGGTCAAAGATTTTCGACAAAAGACGAGGTCAAAGCAGCTGTAGACGCATATTTTGACTCTAAGGAAGAATCATTTTTTTTCAACGGTCTAAATGCTTGGAAGGGGAGGTGGCAAAAGTGTATTGAACTTGATGGTGATTATGTAGAAAAATAAAAATATAACTGATTTAGTATGTGTTTATTTTCTTGGTTAGGCCGAGTACTTTTCAATCCACCCTCGTATGTTGTATGATAACTTTGCAAGTTGTTTGGTGTTAAAATGTAAAGAGGTATAATATGATGAATGTAAGTGAGAAATGTGTATTGTGTAAGTATGCGTAACATAACTAAGAGTAACATCGCTATACAATCAGTACAATTTAAACTATTTTTATCAAATCGGCCGTCGTTATAATGGGTATGGGGGGAGAAGTTTCGTTGCGACGCACATAAATACGGCAGATTTTTGTCCAGATAAATTTGAAATTAAATTCCTTAGTCTTGATTTTACACTGTTTAAATAAATCCCGGTTGTATGGTGTAAGATGTTCATTAATATAAATATTGTTTCTGGCATTATCGTTGCTTGTCTTGTGCACCATACCAATGTCGGTTAGTTTGATGCCGCGATGTTTACGCGATGCGATTATGATCGAGTCTTTTGTGCTGCGGTGACGAAACCGGGCAATGATGGAACGGTGAATGATGGAACTGTTCGGCTTTCGCGGCTGCACACGATGTGCAAACTCCACCTCACTGCTGTCCATGGTGACACCCAATTTCTCGGCCAGCTTAACAACAATTTCAACAGTGTTTTCATCCTTGTCCTCTAGGACACCTGTAATTTCGATATTCTGAAGACGACTCCACTGCTGTGTACTCCTTGCAAACTCCTCTTCCAATTGTTTAATACGTCTTGTATTAGCATCCGCGTCACTTCGAAGACGCGCATTTTCTTCCTTTAGGCATTTAAGTTCAGCTGTGGTGGATGCAAGATTTTTCATGAGGTCATCGTACTGGGTACTTATATAATTAAGAGTAGTTTCCATAGTCGATATTTGAGCTTTCAAGGAGCTTAACTCGCTTTTTAACTGCCTTTCTCATAAGAACTTGGAGTTCATCTTTAAGAGAGTTTAGGATGCCTGTTCGAAACTCAGATGATTCCTGTAGATAAGAGCTTACTGGAGAATTTTCTTCTGATTTATGTTTAAGCGGAGTGTTGGTGTTGTCACCTGCTTTTGGTTGCTTGCTAATGCAATACGGACATGTCCAAGACGATATTTTCTTGGCACTATCTGATGTCAAACCTACACATAAATAATGGTATGTCTTAGCGCAGTTACTGCGGGTGCAAATTATTTTCTCAGATTGCCGCACCGATTTCTTACAACCAGTACAGCTAGACATTATGTTCAATTTATTATTGGCTGGCTGTGTAGTGTAGATCGTTTATAGAATGATAAGTACAACAAGCATTAATGCAGGTAGGTGTTAATTGTTACCTTTGTTTACTTCGACTCGGTGTGACGTGTTCGGATGCTACAAGTAAGGTACTGCACTTTCAACACAGATATAACTAATTTTAACAAACGATGCTATTGGCGGCAAAGGGAACCTTAGGTTACAATACACTACGTGCGTTAATCGATTGAAGCGACGATTATATTTTCTTATCTAATATGACACAGGTCTGCTCTGAGCGATAATCAACAACGGTATAACAGAGACTTTTTAGTAAATATTTCCAATGAATGTAGCTAATTTTGTCAATTTTATCTCGTTTAGTTACATTTATTTTGTTTGCTATGAATTGCTGCCATAACAAGTGGTAAAATTAAAAATTTTGTAGGTTCAACTTCAATATAATTAACCCTTTATAAGGCAGATAGACCAGAAAAGGTTCGAAAATGAAATTTTAGTATGTTGTTAAGGACACACATATAAGCATTTTTGCGAGTTTTTCTACATATATGTCCCTCTGCCCATCCGAGGTAGCAGTAAAGTGGCATAATTTAAGTAAATTAAAGACAATGTAGTTTGTTACAATATATTTATTTACTTAAAATCACAAATATTATTAAAAAGGGACAATAGATGTCTACAAACTTAAATATCTTCAGTTAGAAAGAGTTTTCTAAATATAGGAATGCTTTTCTCTAACTCTATACTTCTTATAATTAGGTTTATTTTTTTGAGATCAATCAACATTGGCTCTTATAATTACTTGAATACAATTACAAAAACTGAATTGATTTTTAAGGTTTCTGATGAAATTGACTGAAACAGGGATAAGCGCAAAGAAATACCTTGCATGTCGTGCAGGAGAAATAGGTTTTTTGTTATTTGTCTTAGTACTGCACAAACGGCACCTGTACCGCGTGTTAGACTTGTTAATCAGGTGTATTCCGACGTCTTTGTATCGGATATCATCAGGAACTCCTACAGGTTTTTGATAGTGAGGACTGACCGCGACGCGATTCTTCTTAGCGACAAAATTAGGTGCGCTACCTAAGCTCCTTTTTCTCGACGAGTAGTCGCTGATAAGTGACCGGGCTAACATTACGCGAAATTGCAAATTTGTCAGCTTTACTGGATTTCTACTCGAAGTCAAGTACAATATGTACGCGTCAGTGATAGCTAAGTCAATCAAAAAAGAAAAGATTCGACACCACCAACGTCTGTTTCGGCGGCCAACTTCATAGGAACCACGTTTTTGGTCAAACCTATCCACCCCTCCCATCCTCTTTGTGTACTCAGCCGCTGCCAGAGGACAGGGGATTTTTTTCTTGGAACCCTCTTTCATAGTTCTTTGACACTCGGTTTTTTGTTTAGGGTGAAATGCTGTACTTAAAAAATGCACATTTATCGTGTCTTTCCAAACCATGAATGATACGTCATTTTTCACTCTCCATATATATTGTCCTCTTGTAAGTTTTAGTTTCTCTTTTCGTTCTTTTTCTTTCTTTTTTATCATTTTTGATGGGTTTCATAAACTATGGTAAATCCGCTCTGTTCAAATTTACTGTTGCTGTGGAGTAAATCCCTTTTTCATAAAGGTATTGCATTAGTGGATACGAAGCAAAGAAGTTATCAAATGCTAAATGAACAGTAACCTCTTCTTCTATCAGGCTTTTTGACAAAGATTTTACCACATTTGATCCTAGACCGAACTCAGGTGTACTGTCGTCATTTTTGCCTGTATAAATTTGAAATTCATAGACGTATCCAGTAGAGCTATCTGCCCTAACCCAAACTTTAAAACCTCTCTTTATGGGTTTTGCTGGCATACACTGCTTCAAAGACGAAATTCCTTTGAATTTAATCATTGCCTCGTCGATACTTTGTGATGTGGATGTTCTAGCTTCATTTTTGCAAGCTGTCATCAGCATTTCCAATAACGGGCAAACTTTATATAGTTTGTCGTAGTCTGGACTTGATTTAGACGGGGTTTGAGAATTATCATTAAGATGAAGATTTTTCAATATTTTTTTAAACCTTTTACAGGTCATTATTTCTGCCACCTCATTTACTCTAAACAACGGGTCACTAGATCAGTATAAATCGATGGAGGGTAAAACATGGAGACCCATAATTATAATCATTCCAATAAAGGCTTTTATATCAGCACTCGTCACTGGTTCCCACTTCATACTCTTTTTCTGGGCTGCATATAAGTTCGTTTGCTCAACTATATGATTGATTACCTCGCCTGAAAAAAATCTGGAAAAATATACGATCGGCGCTGTCCTGCTAGGAAAGAAATCTTTCGCTTTCAGTGGTATTCGATCATAGTCTTCAGCCTTAGGTCTACTCTCAGCTGACCACATGATTTTTTTCCAATCGTCGTCGTTACCATCATCTGCTGAGGTTTCACTCTGTGATTCGTTTTCCGAGGACGACGAGGATTCTGAAGAGAGAACACGACGACGACGTATCGGGCCGCGAATGGGACTGTTTTCAGACTGGCGTTCAAATCGTTCAATATTTGGACTGACATTTTCCCAATTCTCGTCCAAAGATGTACCGGGAATCGGGTTTGGAACTAAGGCCGGTCCTGATGCACGGCTTCCTTGATGTTCAAATAGGTCTTCATCCTCAAAGACACGAGTTAAATTCAAATTAGTATCTGGATCTTCCGCTTCATATCCATCTTCGGAATCATCAGCATCTTCCGGGAGTCCAAACATCATTTCCAGCTCTTTTTCAATCTCTTCATCTCTAAGTGCCGCCTAAAAATAAAATAACAATAGGTCAATAGAATTTTTGCAGTCGCCGAGCAGGCAGATGGCCAAATACGGCCACCAGATATATGCCGAATGGGCCAAGGGCCACATGCGGCCACCAAGAAGAAATAAAATAGTCCATAATTTTAGATAATAACGTAAAAATTTTGTTCGTTCCAGCAATTATAAACACTAAGTAATACATTAAAATCATTTCTTACCATTTTTTTTAAATATTTTCGAAGATTCCACTAGATTAATTTTTCACGAGCGAAAATACCCAACTCACGCGCTACTTGTTGACAGCAAAGTGACAGCTGTCAGTGAAAACATATATGGCAGACTTTTTTGACGTAATATGAACCAATGTTGCCCTTAGTAGGAAGCAAAAGTCGTACTAATGATCGAAACTCAAATGATTTGGGTGATAAATTGATGGAGCATATAAGCCCACTGCCTTATAAAGGGTTAAAATGAGAACATCATCAATGTAGTCGAGGTCAATTAAATACTCATTATTAAGGATAACTCAAAAACTGCTTGTCATATCTTGATCAAATTTATACGGGATCACATGAAAAGCACTAGCTTTCAAATAAACAAAGAATCACAGAAGAGTTCACGTAGAAAGAAGTTCAGAAGTAGCACACATAAAAAACATACAGTCGAATTGAGTACCTCCTCCTTTTTTATACAAGAGGGGACAAACGAGCATGCGGCTCACCTGATGTTAAGTGACTACCGCCATCCATGATCAACCGCAACACCAGGGGAATTGCAGGTGCGTTGCCGGTCCTTTAGAAAGGAGTAAGCTCTTTTCTTGAAGGTCCCCAGGTCGTATCGGTCCGGAAAAATCGCTGGTAGTAAACTATTCCACAGAGAGGTTGTACGCGGAAGAAAACTCATTTTGAAACGTACAGTGGTGGACGGCCAAGCATCCAGATGGTGTGGATAGTATCGGGACGTTTGTCGCGTAGTGCGTTCACGAAATTTGGCGGCTGGGATTAATCCGAACGATTCTTCAGAGCACTCTCCATGGTATATGCGAAAGAAAATGCAAAGAGATGCAACATCTCTTCGCAGCGCCAGTGAATCGAGCCGATCGGAAAGCACTCGGTCGTCGACGATTCGAGCCGCTCTGCGCTTGATGTAGTCAAGTGGAAGGATCTGGTACTGGGGAGCCCCAGCCCAGAGATGGGAACACTGTTCCATGTTCGGCCGAACCTGCGCCTTGTAAAGTTGCAGTTGCATGAAATACTGTCCTGCTCTGCTGAGCACGCCAAGCTTTTTAAAGGCCAATTTGGCCTTCTCTTCCAAGTGATCATGAAACTGCACGTCACTCGATATGTCGACGCTGAGGATTCCGATACTGGCTGAGGCAACAAGGCAACAAATGCCTTGAAACTGAGAAGATACGACAAAAGGGTCCTTTTTAGAGGTTAACGCGCAAACTTGTGTCTTCTGGGGGTTAAACTGGACTAGATTTAGTTGCCCCCAATCCGAGACTCTGTTCAGCAAAGATTCAACTTCAGACACAAGTTTGTCCTGGCACTCGGAGACGTTTTCCCGAGAAATATTAGCTCGGCCAGTGTAAAGAGCATTACCAATGCTGTTATTTGCATAGCAATGAATGTTACGGGTTTGCAACATATCATTGATATGCAGAAGAAAAGCGATGACGATAACACGCATCCTTGTGGAACACCAGCATTAATAGGCTTGCTATCGGAGCTTGCACCGTCTACAACGATCTTGATGCTCCGATCTGCAAGAAAGCTGGTGATCCAATCGCACAATTTCTCGGGAAGCCCATAGGAAGGGAGCTTCGAAAGAAGCGCTTTGCACCAAACTCGATCGAAGGTCTTCGCAATGTCCGAACTAACGGCCAATGCCTCCCCCTTGAACTCTACTGCCTCCGCCCATCTATGAGTTAGGTAGACCAGAACATCACCAGCTGACTTACCACGGTGAAAAGCATATTGGTGATCACTAACCAGCTGGTAATCCTCCCTTGGTGGTGGCAGTTAACAATAGACTCCATTGTTTTGGAGAACAAGGAGGTGATGGCGATAGGCCGGTAGTTGGACGGGTCTGAGCGTTCACATTTTTTTGGGATCGGGTGGACGAAAGCAGTCTTCCATGATTTAATAACAACAACGAAAGTAAATCGCAATGTAACGCCTGAATCTATTAATTAAATATTTTGGCCTCAAAATTCGAACCCGAGACATCATGATCACAAGTTACGCTTATTACCAGTAGACGAACGAGGCAATCGAAAAAAAAGAAAACAAAATTAGTAACTAACAAATTATATTTGCATTTAAAACATTCTATGGGAAAGGCCTATGTTTAGCAGAGGACGTTCATTAAGCTGCAACAGTATGCTTTACATAATATCAATTATTACCATTGTAGTATCACGCCTTATGCTCGATCTTATTTCTCAGTGGCACATATTTGAACGAGAAGTTTAAAAAAAGTTACAGCTTATATACGTCCTACTCCTACTACTACTACTGTAGGACACAGACCTACACTCATTTCTGTGAGGGTTTTAGGGCAAGGAATTGTCCGCCGCGCTGCCCCAATGCGTGTTGGCGAACGTCACATGTATTCGAAATATTTTTTTCTTACTTCTCAGACATGAAGATTTCCTCGGGATGTTTCCTTCACCGCTGAGCACGTGGTAAATCAGCACTTAATTGAGGAGCTGTGGTACAGCGCTCGCTTGCTGTTAATTTCACAATACGCGTGTCCGACCGGGTACGATCCCCGCCGGCACCAATGAAATTGTTAGTTGCAATGATGGAAGTAGCATACGGTAATATCCGTCCCATTGCTTGGTATAGCTTCCTGCGATTTCTGAGAGGGATATAGGATAAGAGAGGGTCCTTTGTGATATTCCAATGTATGTTGGCGTACTTGTTAATATTATGTTAAAATTGCAATTGACAATTTCATTGGTGCCGGCGGGAATCGAACCCGGTTTGCTCGCGTATTCTGAAATTTACCGCGAGCGCTAACCATCTGAGCTACCACGGCACTATTTGAACGAAAACAATAGTAAAATATTTTATAGCAGAGTCAAATTCTCATTTAAAAATAATTATTTGTTAATTTTGATCATTAATTATATTGTTATTTATTTTGTTGTGTTAATAAATTATAAGATTTTGAACTGTTTTAAATCGATCTACGGATGAGACGCCATCTAACAACCTGTACGGTAAACGGAATTTATTGTTGTATTCCTAAGTAATTTAGATGGAATTTTGATAGAATAAGAGTGATCAACGAGTACACATTTCGCCTGATGTTAAGAGGATGTTCAAAACAAATTGAAATATCCAATCTAATATAAATGTTCACATGCAAATTTTAGTGGATTATTTTGAGGACAATAATTTTTAAAATCATCGTATTGTGAACCCATATTTTGCGAATGAATTATTTAATTTCATTTCAATGCCCTAAAAGCAGTTTATAGAATTTCATAATGAGTTTGATACCATATATTTTACGAAACCCACAAACTGTTTACCCATTATTAGAAAAAGCAAATGATGTCAGCTCCAATTTAAACTTAAACTCTATACTGCTAAGGCTTAATTTATTTAATCATCCAAAACAAACATCTTCATTTGTTTTTTGATTTGAAGCCGAAAACTTATAAAAAAAAAACTTAAACATTGATGTTTCAAAATACTGCATTTGATTAAAGGTCTTAAAACTGTTCTATTAGGGTATATTTTTTTGTATAACTATCGGAATTAAATCAAGATAAAACAGGAATCATTAGGTACATGCAGCGGACGTTTTGATAAGAAAGAATTAGGGCGATATTCCGAAGTCATCATATTAAGCCGATTGCAGGAAACAGGTTATTAAACGAGTTAACGGAGAAAATTTCCGGCTTCAACTAATTAAAAAATATAATTGAAGTTAAAAAAGTGAGCTTCTTTTAAATCAGATCTACAAAAATACTGAAGGTTGATTTAGAAAAAAAAAAAGATTCAGATCAAAAACAATACGATTATTCAATTTGAAAACATCTAATGAGCCCAATGTTTAAAACAGTTATAAACAAAAAACAATTACACTAAAATCCTTCAGGAAAGAGATAAATTCAGAAAAAGTAACCTATGTCACTTCCACATCACTTCAAATGGCAGCCTATGTATTAAAATCCATAAAACGGTATCGGCTACAGAGTATGCCAAAGATATAGACATAGTACGTACATACACTGAAAAACATTAGCCTCCTTCTAGAGTAGTCGGATAAATAGATAGGCTATAAAGATCTCTTTTAATTTTTATAAGACGTACCGTCCATAGAATTATC